ACCTAGGAAACACAGCCCAAACCCAAGACACTCACTGTAAACCAGAGGGTTCAGAATTCAACCTGAGTACCGCACATCCAGACTGCTACTTCATTTTTCTACTTAAGCATTTCTTCTAACTAAATCTGGAACCAGCTGTTAAGTATTCCCATATTCTTATACACAAGCTGGCATGCATCCCTTAAAAATCACATTCTAAACACTAGATGTTTAACATCCAGCATAAGCTAAGACTGGTAAGTTCTGCTGCTTTTACCAGTGTTATCTCTATTTTAAGTTACCAATTCCTTGGCTATAACTACACAGGCACAACAAAATCAAATACAGACTGTATTATAGACAACTACATGATAATAAATTCACCTGTAAGCCTTTCTACTATCATTCCAGGATGAAACATAAAGCAGCTTCCTTGCACAAGAAGTCATGCAACAAGAAGCATTCAGCTAAAAACATGAGAAAATAAAGCAAGACAAGGTATTATGGCTTAGTTGCAAGATTATACTTGTAACTTGAACATACAACTTAAAGCCCCATTACTGAAGTTTGAGGCAGATAAAACTTACAGTGGAAAAAAACAACACACTTCCCTCAGACTTTTGGCCTGTTTAGAGAAGGTGAATGTGTCAGTTACCTGTAATACATCACTTAGACCTAGAACTGTAACTTATAAAACTTCATTCTACTTCCGTGTAAACACTAATAATCCAATTCCAGTGAACAGATACTCACGATGTGACCCAGCAGGATGTCACTAAAAGGAGTCTGAATTACCTCCCTGGACTAACAGGGCTCTGGCGTTACCCGATTTACAAGAAATGGGTCAGTATGCATAAAAGCCAATCGAATCATTTGAAGTCATCAGTTAAAAGTCAGCAACACAGCTCTCAGACAGTGGCAATTTAACAGCAGGCTCACCTCTGAATCAGCTACAAAGTACAGGAGAGGGCTGGGCTCCTGGTTTTCAGAGAGCAAGCAGGGATACTACTAGTCATTAAATAACTACTTTATCACTGATAAGATAGAGCTGAAAGTTCTTTCCCGAAGCCCTGTAACAAAGGCTAAGTCAGAATAAATACTTTGTTCTCTCCACTCTTCCAGAGAAGCATTCCTTCACAGGTAGGAAAGGATACAGATGAGTAATTGTTATTGTAAATAAGTCACAGGGAACAAAGCTACTGCTTATAGAGTCAGGTTTCCAAATAACTTCATCATACTTAAATGTGCAAAAGTTCCCCTGGTCCCAGGATACAAGAAGATACGTTATACTGAACCAAATTCCCTCCTAAACAATCAAGATACTCCAGAAAGCTCCACTGCAAGTATTTGGGAAGACCACATCAAGTCCTCAGTATTGTGAAATGAGACTTCCATTAGTACTTTTCCAAGCAACAGAAAGTTAGCTTTGAATTAAAGCCATTTTCCCCTGCCCAGCAGAGTTCAGAAACCACCTGGCACTACCACTATCCTCCCATAATACCCAGAGCTGAGGAAAGTAAATTCCTACTTCTGGTAGAACTATTCTGTCTAAAGAGAAGCTTCACTTCAGGTCTGGGCTCCAGGGATCCCAATAATAAACTTGCACACAAGCACATATTAGCATTCCATGACTATCAGCAACACTCTACACAGGTTCTGCTACAACTTTCCTGTTCCCAGGCATTATCGTTTGTTTGTAACAGAACTGGCATTTCAACAGATCATAAACACATTTACTTCAGTCCAAGTTTCTTCAATAGCATGTCGAAACAAATCCATAACCTTCAATGCTTCCAGAAACATTAGCCATCAGCAATGATTATGTAGCTGTGAAGCATACAAAGAACAACAACATCCCTGTATACAGAAACAGAGACTACTTGTAACTCTTCAAATTCCAGAAAACAAAAGAACTTTGTTTGGCTCCCCAAACTAAGATTACTAATGTATGGAAAAGGCAGCAGCATCAGGTACAGCTGTTTCCCCCTTTCTTCATCTAACATAGTACATTTGAGATATTATATGGCAAGTCAAGCAATTCCAAAGAATAATATACTTCCCACTCTACCTCCATTAATACCTAGTCCATATCACCCTTCATAGTGGATATGATGCCCTGGCTCGAAGAACTGAACTCTAAGGGAACATGGTACTATGCCATCTTTAATAAACGTAGTATCGGCTTATGAAGGCAGGTGACAAGTCCATAGATCTGCCCACTATCTGACAGCTCTCCCTATCACAGGGGGTCCCTGGACTAAAGAAAACTATACAGGTTTCTAGTTCTTACACTGTCTCTTCCAGTCCTCTGTACAAAAGCAACCAATCCGGAGACAAGCTCAGTCAGCTAGGTTCCTCTTGTACCTTTGCCCACAAGTAAGTGACTGTTCCCCTCTGGAAGAAAAAATAATTAGGTACTCCTGGTCAGGCAAAGCAAGTCCTAGCTCTGGAGTTACCCAAGCATATCGCAGGAACATGACAGTCCAGTAGGAAGAAAAAGCAGTAATTATGGTAGTTGAGTATCTGGGGAAGCAGGCTGGTGTTAACTGACAGTGACTTGATTTTATTGGGGGAACAGACAGATGCACTACTACTGTGTGCACAGTCTGAAAGCACAAGGCCCCAATAGCGTTGGCACAAGAAAATATCTGTGATGCCCTACAGAGGAACAGTAAGGACACCTAGACGGAGTGTTTTGGCTACTTGGACGGTCAAGCACTGTTCCACTCATTCACCTCAGGCATCTCTCTGCTCCTAAGACACCTTCCTCACTTTCCATCCAGAGTGACAACAAACAAGTCACTCCTGATTTTCCAGGAAGCATCTACTCTTACCGTTCTGTTGAGAAGTTATGCTGCCACCCCTGACATGCAGGTTCCTTCACAGAGGCATTTCAGACCTTCCCACCATAGGCCACACACAAAACTGCAGGTCACCTGACAAGGCTGGGACTGAGCAGCATCAGCCACTAATGCCCATCAGTAAGGATTTCAGAAACATTTAAGTTAATCTCACCTTGTAGCTTGGGATCCCAGTTACTGATGGGAAACAGTGTCCAGCCTTGCTTAACCGCTAATTGACAGCCTGTGTTTTGGTATAATTGCCAACTGCATCAGCTGACATTAAGCACACAAAACGCCATCTAGCATATTAAAAAGTTGATAAGAGAACAAGAATTTAAGAGGCTTGGTATTCTTTACTCCTTAACTTAAAGAATTTACAATCCACACTCAAAAAAAAAAAACAAACAGGAATAAAAGAGCCAAGGCTCTCAATGCAGCTCTTACATGGGTAGTTAGCTCCCAGCCAGCAGCAGGTTACTTGACACAAGTTTGGCCCACACCACAACTGAAAGCATGAAAACATTCTACCACCATGCTTGAGAGGGAATGAGTTAACCTTCAGAAAGCTTCTTTTCGGCAAGCAAGCACTATACAGGTATAGCCTAGTTGGAGGTCTAGCTTCTCTCTGAGATATATCAAGGTCTATCTCTGGAATGTTAGGATGTAAAAAAAAAAAGAAACAAGAAACACATAACAGCAAAGATTTCAAGTCAAGTTTGTTTTCATTCCCCTACTCTGCCACTCGAATTTTGCCTTCTTACATTAGGCATACAGGCTTCAGTCTTGTGAAGTCACTTTGTCATGTTAACCTCTTGTAAACCACAAAGCCACATCCCCTACAAGATCCTGTAGAGATCAACAAGACCCTTCCGCAATGGAACTTCTTTCACACTCCTGGTGGGAGGAGGATGTTGAGCTATAGAAGTACAGTATCTCTTTGGTCCTGCCCAGCTCAGGGCACACTTCATCCCTATGTTGTTCAGTATGTCCTTCCAAAACCATTACAGAAAGGAGTGCTTGGAAGGTGCAAAGACTATCAGCTACCCACCTGGAGACCACGAGTCACCAATGAACAACCCAGCTTCTCTGGAAGGAGTTTCTTGCTTTCTGCTCAATCTCCAAGGAGGAGCAGAGGCTGCTACTACAGGAGAGCCTCAGCACACACAAGGTGACCAACTTGGCAGCTTAAAGTGAGCTGGGTATAAACCCTGACTTCGTGCATTTCTAAGTCAGTTAGAGAAGAAAAAGATGACACTGAGGTGTACAAGATAGTTTGTTTCTCAAGAGCATGTCAGAGCATCTCACTGCCGCCTTGAACAACGAGGCAAACTGACCGAGAAAGGGATTAAGGTGTTCCCATTCCACCCCACAGCAACTTAGCAAAGGAATTCCAACTCGTAGCAGACAGAAGCGCGCACACACCGATCAATAGCAGGGCTCACAGGGAGCTGCCACCTTCCGCAGTAAACACTCGCAGCAAGCCGCGCCAGGCACCGGTGACACTCGCAATGCTCCGCGCAGGCACGTGACTGCACGGCTACTCACACGCACCCGGCATTGCATAACAGGGCGCATCGCGGCAGCCAGCATCCGGACAGCTGCCGCTTTCTGCAGCAGCAGGGCACAAAGCTCGCTCAGCCCGCACGGCTCAGCTTGCTTTCTGGGCCGCCGGGCCCCCAGGCCAACCGCAGCCACGCACCCGGCAGTGACACCGCGCAGCCCAGCCGCCGACGCCCCACGGCCCCTCCGGCGGCCTCACACCGCAGCCCGGGCAGGCAGGAGCCCGGCTCCAGCTGAACCGGCGCTGTTCCCCCCCCGCGCCCCCATACCTGTGCTGGGGACAGCAGCAACAGGAGGAGGAGAAAGACGAGCAGGCGGCAGGTGCCCGGCCCGGGGCTGCCTTGCGGGCCCTCCATGGCGACGCAGCAGCGGGCGACAGCGAAGAGAGACAGAGGGAGAGAAAGAGAGACGGCCGCGCAGGTCCGGAAGGGCAGCTCCCGCCAGGCCGGGCGGTGCTACAGTCCCGCCGGGGGCCGCTTCCAGCCCGCCGTGGGGCCGCACCCGTTCGTCTCCGCCAACCGCCGCCGCCTGCGGCCCGCCCCTCCCCGGCGGCGGGCGGGGCCGCGCCTCACGCCACGGCCGGGCCGCCCCTCACGCTGCCATATGAGCCGAGTCGGTCGCCGGTCCCCTCCTGGTGGCCTCCGAGCGCTCGGTCCTGCGGCCTGGCGCTGCTCGTGACCTCTTGAGTTACGCCTCACGGCTTTCCTGTGGTGCCAGCTGCTCTGAAAACGCCCCGAACGATGGCAGTGCTTGCTGGAGCGTCGAGATGAGGCAAGCTGCTGGGTTTCGCCAGTGGCTCAAGCCTGCAGTCATTGCCTCAACGATAGTGGTACGACCACGAAAGTACTGCGCTGCCCTGTCGCAATGGCCACCTGATAGTCGTGTCCTGAGCAAGCCAAGCCCTAGAGATGGAAGTAAACTTGCTGTTAGGGGAACTCGTAACTACTTATTTTAGTTGGGTCTCATGATCTGCCTGAGTCTCGTGGCCTGCCTTTGCTGCTTCTTTGCACACGGGTAAAAGTTTAGTGACAGCTGCATGCAGTGGTTTGCTGTCTTCAGAGCAAAGTTGTGCCTCCTCAGAACGAGAGGGATGTGGGTTGTACCAGCAGTATGTTTGCTATTTTCTTATGAGCATGAAAGTACTAATCACATGGCTTACAATTGTATTTTTACCGTAACAGCACAGGCAAAGGCTTCTTTTTTTGGCTTTAAAGTTGTTAACTTACAGCCCCATGTGCATGTGGCCAGGTGCCACAGCAGTACAGCTGCAATAAAAATAATGCCCAAGCGAGGCAGCTCAGGTTGCATGGCAGAAATCAGCTCTTGGTGTTGATTTCACAGGGACTTTGCTGCCCGTGGGTTTGCTTGCAGGAGTCTGTTTGCTGCGCCGATCCACTGACATCAGATGGCCTGACCAATGTTGCAATCACTGGGTGTAAGGAGATTCCACTCTGCTGATCTGTTTGGGATCTGCCTCAAAGGAAACGCGACAAACAGGTGTGGCACATTCACCCCAGCTTCTTGCTGATTCCCCTTTACTTTTTTTGCCTTTGTTGCTCCTTAGTGCACATTATACTCATGGAATAAAACCTGTAATTTAAATGCTATTGCCATCTTCTGACAAAAATGCAGGTTGTCCTTGGTATCGTATATTTAAGGGCTAATTAATGTTGGCAGGGACCTCTGGAGGGTCACTGTAGTTCAGCTTTCTGTTGAAAGCAGAGCACATTTAGGTCAGGTTGCACAGGGAATTTTCCACTTGTATTTTAATTGTTTCAGAGATGGAGAATTCACAGCCTCTCTGAGCAAACTGTTCCACCGTGTGACTACACAGATAGTAAAATGTTCTGTCCTGCAGCTGAGGAGGTTTACCCATGCTCCAGCTTGAGTCTGTCTACCACTGTGCCTGTCAGCAGAGTGTGACTCCAGCTTCCCTGCATCTTCCCATTTTGTGGTCATGGAGAGCAGTAACGTGTCCCCTGAGCCAGGCTGAAAAATCACAGTTATTTCAGCCATCGTGCTGGCATTAAACTTGACTTGCCCTTGATCATCAGTGTCTTTTTATTATGGGGAGCTCAAAACTGGTCATAGGAATCCAGGTGTGGCCTTACAAGTCAGTGAGGAATAACAACACTTGACCTACTGGCTACGCCCTTCCTGGTACAAAGTAGTTGGCTTTCTGCAGTGTTGAATCATGTTCAGCATGTTGTTCAGTCCAACCACCATGTTTTTGCTGCAAAATTGTGTGGCAGTTTCCACCATGAGCTAATTAAGTCCATAACATCATCCTTGTCTACCACCTATAGTACAGAGAGGTGGTAATACTTTAACCTTTCTCTGAATCCTGGCTTGATATCTATATTTAGAAGGCTGTGTACATTCATGTTGTTATTCCAGTGCAATCCCTTCATATAATGCCTCCAGATTTTCTACGCTCACTCCCAAGAGAAAGCAAAGTGGATTATAAGCAAAGACTTATTAACAAACGCTGATCAGACTAAGCCTATCTTGGTCAGAGTGAGTTTTGGAATCTTTTTGCTTGGCAGATGTGGAAACCTGAGCATATATCTGTGCTTATGTTGCCTCTGCATGCTACCAGCCCACAGAGCAGGGCTGGGTATTCTTTCAGTCCTACTGCAGCCCTTGGTCTTGGTTTCAGCTCTCTGCCACAATTAGGGGATGAGTATACAAAGCTAGCTGTAGCTGCTCCCTGGTGTCTAAGTGTTGTGAGTGTTGTTGGTTATGAAGCCAGCACTTTTGACTGCTTCATCTTTAAGTTAGCTTAATGTTAGGAAAAAAAGTAGCCCCAAAGAGTTAACTTAGATCAATGCTGCCAGCAGCTCATTGCCTTTTCTGTGGTACAGAAATGCCTGTCTCCACGGCCAGCTATTCTTGCTTAAGGACATCTGTCAAGTTACATTTTTTGAAGCTCCTTTTAAGCCCAAGGTTATACGTAGCTTTCAAGGATTGTCTCCTTGGAAGGAAGGGGATAGTTATTTTGATTCTCAACCGGTATACACACAATTAAGTTTTCCTGCCTGTAAGAAGGTGCTAATTTTAATTCATAGTGTAGGATGACATTTGGTGTCCTGCTACACCAAAATAGTCCTAGCAGTTGGACTAGATGGTCTTAGTGGTCTTTTCCTACCTTAATTACTATGATGCAATCATCCACTAAGATCAGATAAACACTTTCCTTCACTGAATATCATTTTGGTGCAGAAGTGTCTGCCTGGAAGCTAGCATAAAATAAGTACCTGTTTTCCTTGTTCTACTTTGACAGAAAGCCCTGAGCTTTGCATTCAGAAGTGTTTTCATCACTTTATGCAGTGCAGAAATGAGACTTGTGTCATCTAGTGGTAATGACCGTGCAATTTTCAGATTGCAACCTGTCTGAATAATTAGTTGCACATCCAAATGGAAAATTTACGTGATCGCTTTGCAGCAAAGTCAATTAAAATGTCCATTGCTGCTTTCTTTTTCCTCATCATTTATTACAAGCCTTTATTATTTCTGTTGCGATAGCACCCAGAGGCCATTGCAAGAAGTGGGAGCTGTGTTAAGCAACATGCTCCACAAGCACATAGGAAGGCAGGATATTCTGCTTGGAAATCTTGCAACCTTTGTGGAGACAAGCTACAGCAGGTGAGTTTGCAGGTTTCTTTCAGTTTCTCACACCTCCACATTTTGGTAGAGCCAGTCGAAACCACTGTAACGTGTTCCAAGAATATTTCTCCAGCTAAATCAGAGTAATACTTGTACTAAACAAAGCTGATGTTTCCTACTTAACATTGTAAGCAATTTTTTTTTCATTTGTTAGCCTTCCCTACCTGTGGAGACCTGTTTGACTTTTAATTACACTCACCTTGGTGTAGCTATTAATTTGGTCAGATGCTCTTGGCTTCAGACTCTCCACATGGAATCAAATCACACCAAAGGAGCTAACAGCAATCAGCCTGAAGCTGCCAGTAGTGTTAAATATACGTGTAATGTGTCAGGTGGTGCTGAATCAAGTCCTTTTATCTTTTCATCTTTGTATCTGCCCTGGTGTATTTGTATGGCTGCTCCACCAACCTGTTCCACTGTGTCCCTGTCTAAACTTAGTAAGTCCTATAGTCACATATTTTCTGCATTTATTTTTGACACGATTACATTCGTGGTGGAGATATTTATTATCTAGTTGCATAAGCTTGGGAATTGAATTCAAAAGATTCAAAGCTTGACCCAAGTTTGCAGCAGACTTGCTGAATTATCTGAGTGGGTCCTAATCACTCCAGTACAATTTGCTCTTCCTTAACATGGTACCAATTGCATGGCAAAATGTGGTCCAAGATATTAAAAAGCAGGTATGGATCGGGGAGCTGTTGAAGAAAAACACTGTGGTAAGGCATCTTATTATTGCAGCAGAATTTGGGGATAACTGATATGTTGCTACAAGCAAATACCTGAAGTGTGTACCTGTGCTAGATACCGTGCATAAACACTAATATACTAACCAATTCAGAAGTTTACCCTATAAATGGCTTTTTAAGGCACTGGGTTTGCATTAATATCAGGTTACTGTTCCTTGAGTGCCATGCTGCCATTTGATGTTTAACTCAGGATTTGTTGTCAAAATAGAGAATATAAGCAGAACCATCACACAAAGTTCCTGTGGACACTGCCAAATGCAACTGGAGAGGAGGAACAGGAGTCAGGTTCAAGATCCACAGTGCTCTTGAAGATCAGCCTGTTTATCTTTGGGCTTGGAGATATTTTGTAAATTTTAGAAGTTGTCTCAGTAGGATTTGATGGAGAATCATGGGTAGTGAAGGACCTTCAGAAAATGTTCTTGGAGTCCTCAGAAAATTAGTTGTTCTTTTGCTTCTCAACGCCATACAGTCCAGACAATCAGAAGATGAGATTCATGTATCCCATTTCTGAAGTGATTATAGAAATTTATACATATACATGGACACCAAGTATGCACACATATATATAAATATATGTATATGTATGTACCCTACATGCATATGTATGTACCCTACCAGAACAGAAATGTGCAGTGCATATAAAACCACAGACATTTTCTGGCATGTGTTGTATGTTAGTGTCATGCTCTATCCGTGTATCTGAGTCAGTGAAACATTTGCTGTGGCAAAAATCTGTTCTGACATAGCTGTGTTCCCAGCTGGCACAGCATAGGTTGCTGTGCTGTTCCCTGCTCGCTGACAAAGCGTGGCACTTTGCAGAGTTTGGAGCAGCTCTGGGTGAACATTAAAAGCAAGACATTATTAAAGCATTAGTCCAGTGAGAATGGCTTGTCAACATAGAGCAAAATCATTTAGTTAACAACAGCTTAGATACGTGTCTGAGACTGTTTTGCTGGGCAGACAAAGTTGCTAGGCATGGGACTTGTTATTGATCTCCTGAGAGTTAGCGTCTCTTTAAATCACCGAGAAGATAAAGCAACAAATGTATTGACACATATATTTTAAGGTCAAGAAGGCTATTATTATCACATAATGTTACTTCTTGGATATTGCATTATTTCATTCACAAAAAATCATAGAATCACGGAATGGCCTGGTTTGAAAAGGTGATCAGATGATCATCTGATTTCAACCCCCTGCTCTGTGCAGGGTCACCAACCAGCAGACCAGGCTGCCCAGAGCCACATCCAGCCTGGCCTTGAATGCCTCCAGGGATGGGGCACCACAGCCTCCTTGGGCAACCTGTTCCACTGCGTCACCACCCTCTGTGTGAAAAACTTCTTCCTAATATCTAACCTAAACCTCCCCTGTCTCAGTTTAAAACCATTCCCCTTGTCCTGTCCAGGCTGGCCATTTTAGCTAGCATGCTTTGAAAGATGTTACTTCTGTATATAACTAGCAAGCCATCAAATATTGTCTCCTTTTCATTCACAAATAAACTTCTGGTTTTGCACAACATTTGGGGAAATTAATAGATTAAGCCTTTAGATGCTGCTTTTTCACTCATGGACAAGTCACAACCCTTTTCTTTGATATTCTCTGAATAGATGGAGATGCTTTCTTGAAGTGTGACTGTAGGGATTCTAGACATTAAATCAAAATATAGCTCATCAAAACACAAAATTGTACAAATGAGGCAAATGGCCTGGGATGTCAGACACAGACTTTGTAGTGTGGATTTTCCCCTTTTACAAGAAGAATCCATGGCTTACTATAATAAGTATATTGGCAGGATGTAGACTTTTAACTGAAAGAGATTGGATCAGCATAAGAGTCAGCATTACATTTAGGAATAGTAACAGAACCACCAAGACTTGTTTGACTAACTGAATAAAGATATGGTTTTACTCCTTTGTTTCTTGAGTTGCTTTTTTGAAATCTTCCCTTTAGATCTGACCTAATGGATATTAATGTCAAAGGAAGTCTGTCAGTGATGTCTGGATCTGTGAAACAAACCTTATTTTGTCACGCTAAATTAAATTTTCCTGTTTTTCAAGCCAGAGCATTGGCTTTATTTGTTTTGTGAATGCTATCTCACCCGAAAAGACCTGGAAAATAAATAGAAGTCTAATGAACCAAGTAGAATAGAACAAAGTGGTTTTAACATGAATAGAACATTAATTCTGGTATTCTACAAATAGAAATAACAGAATACAGAAAAATATTGAAATAACAGGTGACAGATAAATATTGAAGTGGACAGACAAGCGTGATAAGCTGAATAATATAGTCATTTTTATTGAAACAATGGTATGGAAAAATACGTTTTAGCAAAGCAACATTCTTGTTGTAGAGTATCATCAGGCTTATGCTGTGTTACATTTATGTAGGTTTTATTGAATGTGTAGAAGGACAGGTCAAAAGAAACTGGAATTCAGACAAGTATGAAACTAAGATGACATTTGAAAGGACTGAATGCAGAGCTGCTGTGAGAAGGCACAACTCTATTTAGTCCCGTACATGCAGTATGTTATTCCAATGCTGGAAAAAAGAGCCATATATATGATCTTTGGTTGGATTGTTAGCACACATTAGCATTTTAACATCACTGACTCATGGAGCATGGGGTAATGACAGGGGTTCCAAACAACAATAGTATTTTGTGTCTGTTCAGAGTTTGCATTAAGTGAAGGACAAAAAGTTTTTGTGCTGCTTCATTTTATGTACAACAATTCTGAAACTTCCAAGACAACATGAAATTTGATTTACTTACTGATTTCCCAGTAGTCGTTATGATTGGCTGAATAAAGTGTGAATTATTCCTGCAAAAAGATTCTGAGACAAACAGTGATTGTTAAAGTGCATTAAATCTGACCTGCGGCTATTTCATCTGGTGCTCTGATCTTCTCAGCTCTTCTAATCTAAACAAAGGTGGGTGGATCAATAGCAAGGCAATTTTGCTCCAGGGAAAGAATGACATGTGCAAGAAGTGGCATTAGGTCAGGAGGTACGACATTACCTTTTGTAACCCAAGTACCCATCCCTGTACATTGCACAGCAGTGATCATCCTAAATAAAGGGCTCCATATATCTGTGATCTCTGAGGCCATACCACTACCACATCTCCGATGGGATGCCAGTTCTCTTTGTACCCACAGGTCTTTCCTTGTGCTTATCTCCATCCTACAATGGCTAGATATCTGAAACACAGGCACAAAGCTTTATATACTTTTCCTTGGCTCATGTGGAGCTTGTTGCACAACCTCTGTATTCACTTGCAGCTGATAGGAAGTCAGCAGCCCATAATACCTGCACAGATCCCAGATAGAGAGGGCAGCAGGCTAGGTCACTGGATCTCAGTGTGCAGAGAGGCAAACCTAAAGCATTGTGCTACTGGCACTGTTGTTTTCTGTGAGATACATGTATTTATGGCACTTCTTGGAAAGCATTTTGACTCTTTGTCCTGTTTCATTTCTACTTCATGTCCTTAGCCAGTACCTACCTTCTTTCTGTCATCTATGAAGTGGATTTGGTACCCCTTAATTTCTAGTCTAAGTTTATTCTTGCCTATTAATGTGAACAGGTGAGCAGCTACTGCATTTGTTTGGTGTGTGAATGAACTCATCTATTTCCCTGCCTATCCCAGAAATGCAATTTGGAACTTCCAAAGATGATTGTGTCTGCAGAGCACTTTGAATCCCTCACACAAAAAGCACTACAGCAACGTGAAGAGCTACTGTTGATATCAATAAATCACTTCAGCCAGAAAAGGAATGTGGCTTTCCGTTTTAGAACAACAAACAAACCACAGCAGTATTTACTGAGCACTTTAAAGATAACAGTGGTTACATTAACACTAAGAATTATTAAGGTTTCTTTGTGAAAAGGTTAACTGTGTGGTGGTAAACAGTATTGCAACTTCCAAGCCCATCTACAGCCAAAATAAGCACCTTTTGGTTACAGGAACTCAAAGCCAAATCCAGCCCTCTCTTCAAAGGCTCCAAGATGAAGCGAATACCAGAAGGTCTTCATGCCTAAAAACCCCAGGCTTGATGAAGAGGGTCTTGGCTGAAGCCAGATTCAACTTCAGTCTGAACATGGCAGAGAAATGTTCTCCTGACACTTCTCTACCACTGTTGTACAGCCTGTGGACCTTACCACCCAGCATTAAGGAGAGCCTAGAGGGAGCTATGAGCCTCTCCCTTCAAACTGTGGCAGAACCACATTTTAAATATTCTTTAGATACAAGAAAAGCCTGTTACTACAGCCCAACACTACTCAGAAAAGAAGATCTAGAAAGTGCATCCCATAAGAAGGCCATCAGATACCCATATGGGACGTGTCATCCCAGATGTTCTTCACCTGCTGCATTAGAACATAGGCTGTGGTAGCCAGTCATGGAGGCAGCAGGGAACAGGACCTGGAAAGTCCTGCTGTGAATGGTGGGGAGCATTTTCTCATGGGCAGGCATAGCTCAAGTAGCTTTTCTGTTGAGTAGCTGCCCCTTTTAGGGTGAGACTACCTGAACAAGAAAATATGCCTGGCAGAGAGGTTACCTGCAGCCCATCTGATAATAATCGTTGCTCACCCAGAATGGCTGGCTACTGAAGACCCTCCAGTGATTATCCTTCCCCTTCACAACTCTGACAGGGCTTTTCGTCTTAAGGATGTGTTTTTTTCCCATCTGTTTATATGAAGAAACTTTAAGGAGAAATATCAGTGTTGTGGCAAGGCTGTCTGGAGTCCCTGTAGCTTTCTCCAGAACAGTATGTTCACCTTCAGCCCGCTGTGGCCTCCAAATGAACTTGTTAAAGAAGTTAGAGTCCAGCCCTGTAAAATGCTGTGCAACAAACTTTCCCAATAAGGCTCTCAAGATTTCGACCTGCTCAATTTTTTTCAGTCTTTCAGAGGATTGAAACCTGGATACAATCATCGTCCACATGTGTTGCATAATTCTTTGGTTATGTACCAGTTCATCTGCGAAGTTTCAGTGAGGCACAACATTATTTTAATTTGAAAAATACAGCAGCATGTATTACCTAAGCCATTAGATTTTTTTCTGATGTTGCCTTACACTGTTGGAAAACTTAAAGCTTTCCTTTCTAATGCTGAATTAAGAGAAATTTTAGCTGCCAAGCAGCTCTCTTTATCCAACCCTGACTTCTTACCTCACTTACTCACAAAAATAATAACTTTATGATTTGGTAATATATATGGCTAATTTGCTCTACCGTAAACTACATTTCTTTGTGCAAACTCACTTTTTTCTTCAGACACTGAAGCAAAAGTGCAAAAATTGAGCTAAATCCTAGCTAAATCCATTTTTAAAGCAGAGCATACTTTGTGTTTCCTTACATTTTTTCTCTGTCCTCAACATCTTACATAATTTTTCAACAATTTGTCAGAGCCTGAAGACAAGTGAAGTGTCTGGACTTATATTCTGAATTAACATTATATCTCAACTCACTGCAAAATAATCTCTAATGTGTTAGTGGCTAACAAGACTTAGTATGTTTATGTTTTAGTATATACTGCAGAAATGTCTGGGTTTTAATGTAGCAACTTACAGTAATATGGTTATAACAGCTCTTTACAACACCTTAACAATTTGCTCTGCTTTCTGCACACAGGCACCAAGTAGCATGTCTCATTCTAAGCATCTCAGCCACAAAACAAAGGACAAATTTGCTGTTGAGAATTCATCTTCCAGGCCCACATTCATTAGTGGGCCTGTTCAAGTGTGGCTACATGTAACCCTCTCACCAGCTGTTAAAAACACCTGTTTGCTGTGAACTTCTTCATTAACTCCCATCACAGAAGAGTGCATTGCATAGTAGTAGTGGATATCAAGCCATAGTGTAACATACAGGGAAGGGCATGCAGAATATACGTAGATTACTTGTAGAGCATCTGTACTGTTGTGTCTGACAGCCAAACTTCTGATGTACTTGATTTGCTCAGAAACTGATCCTGTCCTTTCCTGTGGAAAGGCGGGTATGTATGCTGTAGGGCTGAGGATACCTTCCCACAGCACTGCATACACATTGCAAAATGCTGCATGCTGTCCCACTGTGTCTCTGTTGCTGGACAGAGGAATCAGTCCAGGTGCTACGTCAAGGAGGAAATCACTTTTAGTTATTTTTTGTTTGGTATCTTTTGGCATAATTCATAATGCTCTGGATCATTTTACAAAGCTCTATGTAGAAACCAAAATGTTACCAAAGCCCTGGGCTGGCAGGAGGACTTTTCCTGTTGGGAT